ATACACCACTGTTTTTCTCTAAATGTATGTACATCTTTGCATCCTGGCGGTGTTGTGCCGCCGTCAGTTACAATCGCTAAGCCAAGAGCACAGACGAACGGAGTCGATTCATCCACGATCGGTTGGTTCATTATGATGATCTACAGCCGCAGAACGTCATTCTAGTAGATCAAAGTTGTTAATCAATTATTACTTTCCTAAATATTTGTGATTATAGAGTGTGTGAGGTGCTAAGAAGTCATAGGTGTTAGTGAATATCGTGCTGTGAGATTTGTGGTCAAATGTTGACACATTTTGTTGAAAATTAGTAACATAATCAATTTAAATGTGTATTCGCAGTTTGATCTATTTGTAAACGATTTATAAATTTATGAATAATAGGTCAGTTTTTGTTGATGAAGTTAATATTGTCATTTAATTGAAAGTTAATACTTTTTATGTAATACATTATTATTCAAGAAAATTATATTATGAGCATTGCATTAGGGTTTTATTTGATAAATATCAATCGCGATTACTAATGAAATAATGCATTCATATAATATTTATACGACGTCGTATACATGGTCCATGTTTTCATTTTTTTTTAATTCGACAAAATAAACGATTCGCTTAAGGTTGTTTAAGTGAACTAAAAAATTACGTAAAAAAACATTTTATTTTCTGACAAATATGTATTAGCATTACTTGTTCAGAATTCTATATTAAGCGGGTCCTGACAGTGAGAGAATAGTTTCAAACTGATTTTCTATTTTGGTATCGCGCGGAAAGCGTGCCGTGCATGTGCTCAGTTCTGACATTTACGCAGCAACTGTGCCGTTTTTACTATATGATAGTTTTACAGATTATGTGTACAGCCGCAGGTTTGTTTTCCGATTTACTTCGCTTTTTTCAAGTAATTATGCTGATGATTATTTTTATTCATTAAACGAACATTTAAAGAATTTGCTTACAATATTAAAGAATGGCTCTGTGAACTAGTTGGACGTTTCTAATTTATTATGTAAGCATACTATTTAATGAATTTATCTTAAGCAATATTAATAAATTAATTAATAGATATTAAAAGGTGTCAGATTGTGCTCAAAATATCTTTGCAAGCCGGCAACCAGTTGACATGACAGCTGTTAACAATGGTTTGAATTATTTTTGAGATTTTAAAAATTTAATTTTTTCATATGCATATTTAAATATCGCGAAAGGTCATGCATTTGGACTTGCGATGAAACTACATGATTGATTTTTTAATTTCCTCCTCTAAATACTTTTGCTTTCTTTTGTTATCAATAGCTTATAGTATACTGAAGGTAATTCTTCGATCTAATCAACACACACATTGGTGAAAACACTATCTGATAATTTAAAAAAAAAAAACATTTGTTGCAGTTTTTAACCTTAGATTTTGCGATATCATAATTGCCCATGCAAATAACAAAGCTGTCAATTAAAAGCAAAAGCTCATTTGATAATAAGAACAAAAGAATAGTTCTAAAAATCATAGTTTTGAAACTCTATTATATTATAAATTATGATAGAAAAATAAATACAATATTAAATACAGCTAAGAACCGGTTCTGTAAAAGACTTCTCAAAAAATTATTATATATATTTGCAGACTGAAATTTAATGATGTTCATGCGATACCATTTCACGCCCGCAAATAATTTATATATCATGTTTAAAATATGCAAACAATAACTTATTTTTTGGATGACGAATATACATTTTGCATTTCTTTTCGATTCAGATCGTTGTGCGTACGTGCAGTTGAGGTGATGCGCCATATCGCGTAGGTTCGGCCAGTTAGTAGAGGCATTCGATGCTTTGATGGTGCATCGAGTACAACAACTTGTCTTTTGTCATTATATGATTGCATAAGAGTGAATGTGCTCGATTTAGCTCATTTTAATAATCAAATTATGTGCTCGGGATGACGAGACGATAGTATGGCTTCAGCCACATTGCAATCGGCGACACTAGTCCAAAGGCACCAGAGAATCACGATGGGATTCACGGAAGCTGCCGCACCTGTTGATGTCAACGTTTACCGCAGTCATGGGCCACCAGCCCCTCCTGGCTTAAATTGGCTTTACTTACAAATTCCTGATGGTAGGGCACCTGCCGTCAATCTTCCGGAATCACAAATTGTGGTAAGTTTAATAAAGTACTTAATCTTCTACAGTTCATTTTATTTTTCAGCTGACAATTCTATTCCTATTTTTTCTTTCACGGGTTATTGGTTTACATAACAAATGCTGATTTTTCCAGATGTGAACAACTTTTATTAATTCGTTACGACAGCCACGCCCAACGTTTTAAAACAATTTGAGTTTTAGGGGGTTACACCACTGTAGCTGTAAAAAAAAACGTATGTTTTTGCCATTTTTTTCGGACGGAAGAAAAAGTATTAAAATCATGATATTAAAGATAGTTATTTATTGTACTTTAAAGTAACAAAATAAAATATAATTGTAAAAAAAATGACATATAAAAGATCTCCTATGATAAAAATGTAATTTTAAATATACTGTAAAAAAATCGAGTGAAAAAAATTCAAATTGTCGCAGTTATTTGGTGTGCCACAGATTTTGACGGGCTCGCCGAATGGCTGTACTGGTACCGCAATTTTAAAATTATTTTTTACAATTATATTTTATTTTTTTACTTTAAAGTACAATAAATAACTATCTTTAATATCATGATTTTAATACTTTTTTCTCTGTCCGAAAAAAATGGCAAAAACATACGTTTTTTTACTGCTACAGTGGTGTAACCCCTTAAGTTAAAAAATCTACTAAATTGTCCTAACATCTCAAATCTGGAAGCACCTACTTACGTTTCAACTTTCCGAAGCATGTGTTTGCATGCAGATTGTATGTTTTCCGCCATAAAATCTGATTTGATAATTTTGTTTCCTCGACATCAGACCTTTGAACCGTTTAACACCCAAAATGCGAAAAAGTATGTGCTTGTGTTTAGGTACCATTA